CCCCCGGCCACCCCCAAGCCAGCCGCTGCTGAAACTGACCAGTGGCTGACTACAGGAAGCCCCTGCCCTGGGCTTCCTGGAATCAGCCGCTGATCAGTTTCAGCAGCAGCTGACTTGGGGATGCCTGGGGTTCTTAAGTTGAATCTGTATGTAAGTCAGAACTGGCGTCCAGATTCAGCCGGTGTTGAAACTGATCGGTTTCAGCAGCGGCTGAATCTGGATGCCTGTTCCGACTTACATACAGATTCAACCTAAGAACAAACCTACAGTCCCTATCTTGTAAGTAACCCGGGGACTGCCTGTACATTTTTTCTCTTAGTGCATTGTTTCTGCTCTAGACCACCAAAGCAGGCTAACCGGACAACTGGGGATCCACAGGTCACTGTCTGAACACTCTGGCTTTGTACTAACACCTTCCCAGGAACTGTAAAATGCTCAGGGAAAAGAACCAGTTTGCTGCAATTTAGCTCTTTCTAGTAGGGTTTGTTTGTTTGTTGTTTTGATTTGCTTCTGAAGGCTGTACAACTAAGGCCATGTTTCCCTTTTCTCTCTCAAGAGGAGACAAAAATAACCCCAAACAGTTCACATCCTTGTTCTGGTTCTTAGGGAAAGTAACCAGCCAGCTTTCAGAAGCAAAACTGTGGACAGCTGGCAAGTGGGTGTGGCTGTCTATTTTGCAGCTACATTTCTATCACTACTTTGCAGGAGTTATCCATTCCCTTTGCTAGAAGAGTGAGAACTGCATCCCAGGCAATAGTAGTTTGGCACAGTTGGCCTCTGGGTAGGAACTAGCCAAGGAAGCATAATAGCTACAATCTTGTTACTACCTTACACGGTTTTGTAAATGTCAGCAAACAAGAATACATTTTAACAGGGAGGCCAGTTAAGCAGATTCAGATCCACACCTAGTCTTCAGCAAGATTGGAGGGAAGGGAGGAGAAGGAAGCTCTGCACTATCTGTGCTGTGTAATTGCCAAAAGGAGAATCACCTGGTTTGAACTCCCAAGCTGTATTGGTCTGGCAGATCTCTCCAAGCACCTTGGGTGGGGTTTGGCTTTCTTGCTAGTGACTTTAGCTGCAAATATGGGCCACCCCACCCGACAGGAATACTTCAGCTCCATAGATGATGCTGGACTTAGAAGTAGTTGTTGTCAAAGAAACACGCCGTCCGGTACCAATCTCCTAATACAATCCAGCAGTACTTGAGATTCCCTGCAAGGTTTATCCTTCAGGTGCCCATCTTCACACTGGCTGTTCCTAGACCCAGGCCTTACTGGTTGGGAAGAGATCTGTTTGTAGCGCCTGTCTGGATCGAGGACTGTCTCCAGCAGTGCTCAGGACCCGGTACCACCTTCCCCACAGCAGGGACCTCAGCCTCTACCATGTTTAAGAGAGTTAGGCTGTGGCACGCTGATCCACAGCAGTGTGCATTTCAAAGGGCCTGGAGAGCAAATAGAAAGAAAAAGATTAAAAACCCTCAGCAGGACAGTTTCTATTCAAAGCTTTTTTTTTTTAAATGATTATTTTTAAGCTAGTATGATTTTCTGTTTTTAAAAGCTGCCCTCTATCTGAAAAGTCTGCTGCTGTTTCTGCCAAAGAATATTTTTTTGAAAAAGGTTGAGGGGTTAGCATTCTCTTGGCACCTTGGGCTGATGGAAAAGGTTTAATCCTGGTCAAAGCTAGAGCAGTCTCAAGGCTGCTCTAATTTATGATGGCTTGTAATAGCCCTCCAGGACTATTGTCCCCCTGATGTGGGAAGGGAGTGGCATGCAGCCAGCTAAACCAGCTTTTTGTCACTGGGAGATTTCCCTCATTCGGGGCCAATACCCCGCTGTCCATTTAGGGCAACTTTTATATTAATAAATGTGTATTGAGATAGGATCTAGGACCCCCAGTCACCAAGACACCATTGTTAGAGGCACTGTAGAAACAAAACAAAAAGACACTCTCTGCCCCCAAAGAACTTAGAAGCTTTATATATCCCCTTTGTGCTACTCTGGTGATGCAAAAGACTAAACAATGTGGGACAGATTCACACTTGTTTTATCTATGTATACTTTATACACACACCCCAGATGGAGTAAGTCCATGGTTACTGCTACTTCATTTAAAGGCCTGGAATTGCTAGCTGTAGACTTTTTAAAAAGCTCCATGCCCCCTCCAAGTTCCATGCCATTTACTACACCACTTAGGCTATGTCTACACTGGCGGCTTCTAGCGCAAGAAAATCTTGTGCAAGGGTTCTTGTGCAAGAAAACGTCCACACTGCCATGTGGGAGATGTGCTTTTGTGCAAGAACACCCATGGCCGTGTGGCTGCTCTCTTGCGCAAGAAAGCTCCGATGGCCATTTTAGCCATAGGGCTTTCTTGCGCAAAAAATCCCTGCCAAGCGTCCACGCTGCCCTCTTGCGCAAGAGCTTACACCTGATAAAAAAGAGCCTAGTTCTTGCGCAAGAAGCCCTCTCTTCCCACGCCGGACTGTAAATTTCCTTGCGCAAGAGCAGGCGGGCAGTGTGGACGCTCTGCGGATTCTTGCGCAAGAAGCCGTGAGTGTAAACATAACCCCATTGTTTACTGAGGCCCTTTTACTTAGGCCTAGATCCTTCAAACTGCTCTGTGCTGCTCCTGTGCCCACACAAAACCCCACTCATTTCAGTGGGTGCAGACGTGCGCTGGTACAGAGCAATGTACAGGACCTGAGCTGGTACTCCTGGTACTTTTTTTAATGATGCAGCTGACATTTCAGACATTGTTATCCAATTTAAATTAAAAGCAGATGTGAGAATATTAATGCAACTATTCCCGAGTGCATAAATCGGAGCAGTGAAGCACAGCAATGGTCACTCTTCCCTTAGGTGGGCATGTATGTATTTGTGGTACAACCTGCATATAATTTGCTGCAGCAAACCTCAAGTAGAATTTAACAGACGGTTATTCACTTCCAAAAGAGAGAGAGCTTTGTATGCTCGCTGTAAACTTGCAAGGTCAAGACTGGAACTTTAAAAAAAAATAGTGCTCGGATTGTCTTCATCCCTCTCCTCACTCACGGCCATAATTCACATGTTCCTGGGGTTTCTGTGAGAGGAAACTGGGATGCGAAAGAGGCAAGAAGAAATTCTAATAGCGGATGGCTGGGGAAATGAACCCGAGTCTGCAAGCTGAACACTTGTCCCAATGTCAGATTTAAACTGCTGTTCCATAATTACAGGTCCATTTTTGCTGAGGCGCATTTGACATGTTCACCTCATGCGGGCAAACTATTTCCTGGAAACTTGCTTCACAGATGCTAAATGTTAGGCAGGTGTGTCATGTAATATCAGCGGATGCGCCTGGGAAGGGAAAGGCAGATTGCAGACCACATTAGAACCATTACCTCAGCAGGACTGGCAGTCTGAAAGTTCACAGGATAATTAACTTTGCCTAACATCAAAAAGGTAATTTGACAGATGGAACGCTGCATTTTCTTGCTGTCTAATCATCACTGAGATATTCCTTTTTCCACCCACAAAAAAAGACACATTTACTGCTGGAGTATCCTCATCATGCCAAAATTCACCAGCACTGTATTGCAGATTGACTCATTTTGACAAAAATTCCAAAGCAACCAGCATTCTCAAGTTAGTCTCTGATATCAGTATTATTTTCCTGCAGGCTGTACACTAGAGCCTGTTGTTCTTGGTTTGACATTTTTGCCAGGATATTGGAAGCTCAAGGAACACAAATCACTATATGTTGTTTATAATTAGTCTCCCTTTGGCAATGCATTAAATAACCAAGAGATGCAAAATTGCTGTAGAATGCACTTATTAGCCAGATAATGGACTAACCTCTGCCCTTTTCCCTCTATTCAACCTTATTTCTTTTCAACAAACTGCATGGGTGTAGCAAATATATTGGGCCCATTACCTGCGGAAAAAGTGGCTTGCTGACAAAGGAAGGGTGGTGCTGTTTTCCTCTCAAATGTCCAAGTATGTAATTTTCATATTGTACTCATTCAGCACAGTGGGAATCCTCTCTTTGTAAGCGGTTTCTTTCGCTCTCCACTGTTCAGAGTTCAACCATTTAGGTCACAACAAATCTTAGCAAGCACTGAGCTAACACCCATTTCCTAGCAGTCTCTCCTTTCTGCTGGGGTGCTTGGAATTGACTTTTTTAAATTGATAAGTTTTGATGCAGGCACGGAGAAGCTTCATCTTTCGATCTGGTCGTTCTCCCATTTAAAATATTAGACTAGAGATTGGCATTTCAAAGCAGCTGGTCTGGGTATGATAACTTCAAACACAATCTATATGTTTCGCCCCCCCCCCCCCCCCCCCCCCCCCCCAAACGTGCAAATCCAGAATTCTAACAGATGATCGTTCTGAGTATCTGCTTAAATAGATTTCTTGTTTTCATTGCTTTGCGACTTCTCCCAAAGGTCTAACACTGCAGTCAGCTGCAAACATGCGAGAATGTATTTCATTCTGGGTCCACCCACACATGACAAATGTTCCATGCTGCTCAATGGCTAGTCAACAAGAGTAATGCTATGCAAATCCAGAATTCTAACAGATGATCGTTCTGAGTATCTGCTTAAATAGATTTCTTGTTTTCATTGCTTTGCGACTTCTCCCAAAGGTCTAACACTGCAGTCAGCTGCAAACATGCGAGAATGTATTTCATTCTGGGTCCACCCACACATGACAAATGTTCCATGCTGCTCAATGGCTAGTCAACAAGAGTAATGCTAGGGGAGCCTGGGAGTGAGGTAGCTATGTGGATCACAGGCAATAGATATGGCAACACATCTTTACAAAGAGTTTATAGCTCGGAGACATAGAACAGCAGTGGGTACTTGGCGATAGATCGAGACGTCATATCTGCTTTGCAACTAGTGAACCCTTGGTTATGAATTTCTGTCTTGCTGCTGCTTGTACAGGGTCAGAGACTGTTGTAAATCTCTCTCCTCCTAGAAATTTTGTTTGGAAACCTTCCAGCTGCTTAGTGGTGTCGGCCAGATCATGCTTTCGAGGGTGATGCACGGAGAGCCCTCTTCCCCATGCAGGTCTACTCCAGACCACGTGGAAGGGAAGGTCAGTGAATCTATAGCGCTCTCTCCTTTCTGTGGGGCCTGGGGATCTACACGCTTGGTTGGGAGCACAGAGGGAGGAGCGAGGGAGGGCCTGGGGATGCACATGGTTCTTTTAATCCCCAAATCCTGTAGCAATTCAGTTCAAAAGTTGAATACAGACCAAGGTCGTGTTGGTGTTTATGGAGGACCCTTTCTGTACTAGGAAAGGGAGCTCGAGTCGATTTTTCCTGCTCCCTCCTAGGGGAGAGAGCACAACAGAAGCAGAACTAACATGGCATTGGTA